GGGGGGGGGTGAAATTCAATTAATTTTCTTATTTTTTACCCTTTTGCCAATAATTTATGTCCAGGATTGTAGATGTATCAATGTGGGTATCATCAGCAAACATGTTACTCTTAACACTATTTAAGCAATTGTGAAGGTCATCTGTATACAGTAGGAATAAAAGGGGACCAAGAATTTGACCCCTATGGTCTTCCACTAATCATGCTTGACTCTTTAGAAATATTTCCTTTTACCTGGCAACACTGTGAGCGATTGGAGAAGTATGATGCATTATCATTTGTTGGCAGTTCCGGTTCTACTGTAACAGTTAAGTTTATTTAATAGTATTTGGTGATTGACTGTGTCAAACGTCTTCATGAGATCAAGAAAGACGACTCCATTCAGCTCACCAATACTATTATTATGATATATTATTAAAGCCTGTCAGTGATTTAGTGTAGTGTATAACTTGTTTGTTTTTAACTTGTAATAAATTGAATTGAAATTGAATTGAATTGAATTGAATTGAAATTGATTTCTAGTAGCGCTGTTACAGTGGAATGGCTACAGTGTAGGTCTCAAACCGTGTTTGGAGGTAGATCATATATTAGGGTTCCCATCATGTAAATATATAAATAAAGTTGGTTATTAGCAGCCATTTCCATTACTTTAGCAATAGTCAAGATCACATATATTGGTCTATAATTATTCATGTCCTGTTTGGGTCCATTTTTTGGAGCTAACTAGAAAACTTTAGTTTACTTAGCTTCTAGTCACCTTAACAAATAATATTTGATCCTCTTTCTCTGTGAATGAATATATATCTGGACTATCAAAATATCAATTGTAATTAACTAAATGAGGTGAATAAATTATTATCGTATTATTGTATTTTGTGAATAGTTTCTTCGAAACTTTACAGTGTTGTGATGAGTGGGGGAAATTCAAACGACTCAGCCATTCATGCATGCATTCGTTCATTCATTCATACGTCTTTATTAATTAAAAAAGATCATAGATCTTGGAGTTGCAACAAACGTTCAACTTTACAGTGCATATGAAATATAGAATTAGATTATTTACAAATGTGTTAACGTTACAGTTAATATATCCCGTTTAACAAATTTTTAAAAGTCATTAAATTTATGACTCGTCCCCAGTCGCTTGCGTTGGATGATGTAAATTGTTAGGTTTGTGAGCGACTGGGAAATCCTGTATTCAAGATGGCGCCCATACATAATGGCGGACGCTATATCCAAGGAGCGAAAATTAGGACAGAAAGTTCTTAAAGGCGTTTCATGAAGCGTTTTTGGTTCATAAAGTTATCTGTCCAGTTGCAGAATATGTGCGAAATGTGTTATTTTTTTAACAAAATGGATTACCGCAACATTTTCGTGTGGCTCATAAGAAAAATTAAAAATATCACTCGCATGTGTGGCGAGTCAATATCATGAATACTTTCTTTTACATTTGTGAATAAGGCTTGTTTAGCAAATTTTTGCGTCCTTAATATTTTTGTGCAGGGAAAAATATCCACATATTTTAATATTTGTTAGTTTACAACTATTAGGTATTGAGTGGATCTTGGTTCAAAGTTTCCAGGGAAGGAGATGTTAATGTATTTGCCGAAGATGCGAGGAAAGCTTCCACAATTTACGGAGTAATAAATTCTGGGAAATGCAGACCAAAATAACCCATGCAAAATATCCATGCAAATGCTATACCAAACAAACAATGGATGGAACACATGTAAACATTGAAGGGAACCTTGTTGTGGTTGAATGCTCTTTTAGAAAGATAAATATAAATCGAGACATAAATATGAACCCAAAATAGCTCAAATTTGTTACCTTGAATATAAGCCCCTTATTGTCTTTATAGCTTACTAGCCTTACTATGTTATTCAAAGTGTGTTATTAATACATATTTATTTTCCTGTTTATGACTGATTTGTTTATTATCTACTAACACAAGACTGAAAAGAGCACCCATGTACTGTATAAGCATTAGAATGTTAGGGTTTGTAATCCAAGTGAGAATATATACATTTTAAGACCTAACCAGGAACGACTGCGAAAAACGCAGCACAAGGTCCTCTGGTAGGAATTGAACCCACGGCCCTGCGATTCAGGTGCAGCGCTCTAACCAACTGAGCTACACAGGCCAGCTGTTGAGCTGTCACCGTAAGTTCATGTATATATAGGTAATCGGGTGTGCGAAAATTGCTTACAAAAGAATATAAGCCCAGAGCTTATAGTCAAAGGTTTAGGGTATTCTTGACTTGCAACCAACCCTTGAGAGTTAGAAGACAATGTCTGCGAGGCAGGCTACTTTGTTATCTGTGATAGTCAATGTTCAACCATAATGTTAATAAGAGGAATATAGACTTTTGTATGAATTGGTATGTGAAGCAAGAACATATGCCATTAGACATAGTTAAAACCTCTTTGCTTCAAGAGGATAAACCTTGAAAAAATTAAAGTGTTTGATTTTGTTTGAATAATGTGGGGATTACCAAAAGAGAATGGGTTAATCAAAGAGGAGCGTGATAAGAAAACCATCATAGAAATTACATAACAAGTGGTTTTTAATTAAACTACCAGTCCAAATGTCAAATTTCGCTTTCTGAAAGAGGTTATTGTAGCAGACGGTAATAGGGGGAATATTTGTAAAATGGGGGATATAATAAAGACTCTTTCCGAACTATGTTAGACAGAGTAAATTACTATCGGATAAGTTTATCAAATAACTTTTTTTATTAATCAATGCAGTACACTGTTTTAATATTGGTCAATGCACAACGTGTATCTTGTTTTTGCATTGTTGGTATTGGTTGCAAATAATGCTAATATGATTCAAAGAAAGTAAATTTCAACAGCACGAATCTGGTGTAGCTAATAGATTTATTTATTTAGTTTCCAACAATATGTACAGCATTTTTTTAATCCTACCAACTTAAGTCAATTAATAAGACTTATTGTATTATATTTTATTTATATGTTAAAAGCTGAATAAACATTTATTAAATATAATATTACTTTTCTAAACCCCGAGCCGACGGCGCGAAGCGCCGTGCGATGGTATTAATTCCCCCCGGCTATTTACACCCGGGGAAACGAAAGCATTAGCGAAGTCTAAAGTTCATCAATGAGCGCGGGCGTCGCTCACCAATGGTGTTTGGGTTTTGGGTGGGCGGTCATCCTCACTAATCTCAAAAATATGGCGGATTGTCATGAATAGCGGACACTGATTGGTCCAATTTAAAGTTTGCATTATAACGACTGCATGACGACAGCGAAATAGCAAACATTTCTTGATTTGATGAACGATGATTGGTAAATTTCTTGCAAATGTATTTCATTTTTGCTCGCATTTTTGCAAGATTTTGCAATTTTCAAAAGCTTTCTCAGATAGAAAGGCCGAAAGAATCGGCTAAAAGAAGGGAGCCGACGTTAACGAAAGTAAGTTTGTTTTAAATATTGATTTTATAATTGCTTTAAAGCCCGACGGCCTTTGCGTATATGAAACAACTAAACAAGACAGCATATAATTTCAGTGTATCTTTAATATTGATTCTTTTTTATTATATTTAATTTTTTAAATAAAAAAGAAAGCAAAGTTATTTGCATGCGAGAATTTGAAATCATTTTATTGCAAACTCAAAGTTTATCGATAAAGCCATTTAATTATAGGCAGTTTAGTTTTATAAAGAACACATTAAAACGTTTTGCGAAGCGTTTGTGGTTGAATTTTACCTTAAATTGAAGCTTATATTACGTATAATAACATACCTAACATATATATGTTGGGAAATTGATAATTTTGTAATTAAAAGTGACATTTTTTCATTTATTTGTAAGAATATTCTTAAAAAATTATCGTGTTACCATGGCGCGAGGGTTTCTGCATGCATATTTTTTCTAGTATGTAGTACTTCCAAAATGTACCAGTTCAACAAAACACCCAGCCGATAATACATGAAAGCAACAGCCGTCATGTTACCAATTACGATGTATATACTTAGCTAGCTTTAATTACCAGATATATCGCCACCGTCATATTTATATGAGGGTAGGATATTTTCCCATTTTCATCGACCAAAACAGAGACCTCCAAGTTTGAAAGCAAATTTTTTATGTCATCTTTATTTAAAAAGTGTGTGCAAAAGTATATCAAGTGTTTTCCTAATGGGGAATTTTACCAAAGGAGAAAGCCGAAAAGCATAAGTTCTTACTCTAGCCTGGAGGATAGGCTTGCTGACCACGTGTATGAACTAATGACTTGTTTAGACACTGAGGTCATCACTTCAGAAATCAAAGCTATGATCATGAAAAATAGCGATATTTCAGCTGTGGATGAATCTGAGCTTTTTTTTACGCCAAATAACAATGAAACTCATAATAGTCCAGTTACAACGAATCGCTCAAGTGGCTGGTCTGGAATGAAGAGCAAGCTTGCTTCTTTGGAAGCCGGGCAGATCATCTTTCGTGAAGGGCTCACACGGGAAATAAACGAACTGTCTTCTAAAATAACCAATCTAATAAAGACTGTCGAAGAACAGAGAGAAGAGATAAAAACAGTAAAGGTTGAGAACGAACTACAGCGAGAGGAGATAAATGCGATCAAAGCTGAAAATAAAGAACTGCGCTGTCTCCATTCCAAGATTGCTACGAATCAAACTCCATTCTATTCAAAAGGAGATAACGGAATCCAGCAAAAACATTCTGCCTTTGAACCACGTACTTCTTATTGTGACATTGTAAACGTAGACATGCAAGAAATTGAGAATTCCCCAGGACTTACTGAGGACTTGTCAAACAATATTGCTTGTGAAATGACTAGCAGCGCTACAGTCCCAACGAACCATGCTGGTGAAAGTAATCTAGTAGTGGTGATCAATACCGAAGAACAGCCATCTTGCTCAAACGATATGAGGAAGAATGATGATCACCCAACATCTAAGACACTTTCAAATGAAAAACTCAGATCAAAACTAACGACAGACGGCTGACAGCAGACATTAGAATTTGCACGTGGAATGCTGGTGGCATTTTTTATAATGTCAAGTATTTAGATAACTGTCTCAAGAAATGGTTATTTCCTGATTCATTGCCATTTTTAAACTCTATTAATGAAGACTTTACATCTCATGCCAGGAGTTCGAGTGAACTCGAACCACATTCTTTATATCGTCGCGGAAAAGGTGGAGTTGCTATACTCTGGCGTAAAAGCCTATCACTCAGTATCATGCCGTTAGAGAACATTGGCAACGACAGAATAATTGCAATCAAAGTCAAGCTTCTTAATCAGAAAGCCCTATTTGTCCTTGGAACATACCTACCCTCAACAAATGACTCCACATCTTCATACAGGGAATATATTAACACCATGGAAGACAGTATTGCCCATCTTAAATCTCTGGGGGCAGTTGTTCTTGCGGGAGACTTTAACGCCCACATTGGTAATCACGGTGGTCCTAGAAGTTTTAAGGAGGTGAATAACAGAGGACATATCCTGATTTCTTTACTTGATCAGTTTCAATTCATTTCGGTCAACTCTCAAGAATTGTGTAATGGGCCAATTGAGACATTCCACAGTAATCAAGGCTCAACTCTGTCAACTATTGATCATATTTTCGTAAACAAAGAACACTTACCTTTAATTAAATGGTGTTATGTCGAAAGCGATAACTGTAGAAAGCTATCATATCATCTACCAGTAATTTGGTCGTGGGATGTACAGTTACCACTCCTGAGTACAAGATCAAAGACAGCTCACACGTCTTTGTCATGGAAGACATTACTGAATGAAACTGTTAAAATCCGATATACCAGACTTCAGTTAAGAGGAGATTGGAATCATTAGAAAATAACGGCGAAAACAGTGTTCCATACAACATTGACACAATAGAGGCTGAGATTGCAAGTGTAACAAATTTGTTGCACTCAGCAGCACAAGAAAGCATTCCAAGAAAGAAATTCAGGAAAAACCGGCGCCCTTACTGGAAAGAGGGTTTAAACGAGTTTCATAAGAAAATCAGACAATGTAGAAAAAGATGGTTACAGAACGGAAAATCACAAGATCGTGAGAACATTTACTATAGAGAATACAAAGAAGCGAAATGTTTATTTAGGAAAGAACTGAGAAAAAAAGATATATTTAGAAGAACAAAAACAACTTGAATCGTTAGAAAAGCATTACGAGACTGACCGTAGCACATTCTTTAAAATCACCTCGAGCATTTATAAGAAAAAAGAAGTAAGCATTCAAGGGCTAGAGGTGGACAGAACCTTAATATACGATCCAGAAGAAGTTCTGTCTGTGTGGAAAAAGCACTACAGTGATTTGTTCACACCTAAAACAAATCCTAAGTACGATGACGAGTTTCGAAGGTTTGCGGAGGCAAAGATAACAGAGTAAGAGAGTGAAAGCTTTAATGCAGAAAATGATCCGTTAGACAATGCATTTACAGAACATGAAGTGCTAGACGTTTGTTCCAAGTTGCCAAATGGAAAGGCATCCGACCTGATGGTTTAACGTACGAACACATAAAACATGCAGGACTCACCTTGGCACCTAAATTGGCCAGAATCTTTAACGCACTCAGAGAATTTGAAATAGTCTCTGATAGCTTTGTTCTTAGAGACATAATATCATTATTTAAAGGTGGGGGAAAAAATCGATTGAACAAAGATCACTATAGAGGCATAACTCTCTTAAATGTTATCGGGAAAATTTTTGAACGACTCGTATTGCAACGTTGGTTACCTGTCTTTGAAACATGGGGCGTACCGAATCCATTGCAGTTTGTTTTCTTTTTTTTTTCTTTTTCTTTTTTTTAATTTTTTTTTCACTTTTTTTTTTCAGTTTGCTTATCAAAAAAATAATTCTTGCATAAATGCAAGTCTTGTTCTCCAGGAAGCAGTTGCGCACAATGTAGAACGTGGGAGCAAAGTTTACTGTTGCTTCCTGGACTCTGCCAAAGTCGTTGATACGATATGGATTGACGGACTGTTTTTCAAATTGTACAATAATGGTATGAATGGTAAATCGTGGCTACTGCTGCGTAATTGGTATAAGAGACAAACAAGAAGAGTTCGAGCGAATGGTCTGATATCACATAAATTTCCTGTACACCAAGGTGTGCGCCAAGGAGGGAGTATTATCACCTTGGTTATATCTATGTTTTAATAATGACATCCCACAAATTCTCATCAAACATTGTGGCATGCTAACAGTGAACTCTATTCCCTGTAATCCAGTTATGGTGGCTGATAACATAACAATTCTTTCGACTAGGGTCAAAGGATTACAAGAACAGCTTGATACTTTGGAATCCTACAGCTGTCGTTGGCGATTCGACTTTAACACAAGCAAAACCATTGAAGTTACATTTGGAGAAACCACCAGGACATTCAACAAGAATAATGCAACCAGGAACTGGAAGCTATACAATGCTAAAGTAGAAGAAAAGCGTAGCTGGACACACGTAGGCATCGAATTATCTGGTGACTTCAATGGTAATGATAGAACTAAGTGTGTGTGCAAAAAGGCTAAAGAAACTGTACACAGCTTAAGAAGTTGTCTTGTTTTTTTTTTACCCTCAAATATGTTTGACATGTTCAGGAATCCAAAATGGCGCTCATTATTAGGACGGATATTTGCAATTTTTCTAACTTTGCACCGAAGTCGTGGGAGGGTCTACAGAACATGTAACCGTATTTTTTTATTGAATCATGTATGTTCGTTTCACAAAAGTAATAATAAGCCAAATATCTATTTGGAACCGTGTGGCAGTAATAGTGGCAGTAATATTTGCCCCATTGCAGTCCGTCATTCATGATCGAAAACCTAATGGATTCCACAAGGCGCAGTAAAAAGTGGATTGCTTCTGAAATTTAATTCCTACTAAGATATGTAGATGGATGACTAAGTAATTCATATCAAATCAGAAAAGTTTTAGTCAAACTCATTTTCCGCGACAAAGGAAGGCAAATATTGTCTTCTTTATGTGTAAACATTGTTATTTTAATCAACGTACTATAATTGTTAATGAGTTTGTAACCATAATTGCATGTCAGTGAATTTATATTGATGAGGTAACCCAACATTCCAATAAGCCTTCCGGTTTCTACTTGGGTTTCCTCGCCACTATCTGTCTTCTAGTTTTATTTTGTTAATGTATTGGTTCATTTTTGTTGGCAAAATTAAAATCAATCAATCAATCAATCAATCAATCAATCAATCGTCCCTAATGCATGGGCGGGCTAATATTTATGAGATCGTGTTCTGGCCACTATTTCTTGTTAATTCTCGTCTTAGGTTTATTGGAGAACAATGCTGGTCCATTTAGTTAAAATTATACTTTGTATGACAGAATTTTGTAAACTGGAGATTAGGAGGCAATACATCCCCGCTCGGTGGTCACCAAATCAATAATGTTTGTGTTTAAAGAAGGCGCTTTATAACTTTTCCTTAATCTATTATTTATTAAATAAAATGTATTTTAGACCGATTCAGTCACCATCATTGGAAAGTTGTTTCTATTTGAAATGTCTGAAATATTTTTGTAGTTTTGGCTTTGTTTCTAATATGCATATTTCGGTGGTAATTAAAAGTGTTGTCGATTTCAATGTTTCCTTTAATATCCGGTTTCAATAACTGATTCAGTGTAAATAACACGGCACTTTCGTTGCTTGGCATGCTTTTCCTTTATTCTCTTTAACCATGTCTGGCAAATGTTTTTTAAGTGAGAGAGACCAAAAACAATGTGGAGACTCTCGAGGGCTGAGTGAGATATTTTGGCTAAAATTTGTACCTCTCGGAGCACATAAGTGATTAATATTGATTTCGATTTTCTAGATTAAGGGCCTGTATACGGAGAGTCATTTGTATTCATGCTTGTCCAGATCTCCGCAAATCGATTGCATTATTATAATCCATAGTCTTTATTGTTTTACAGGTATCTGCTCTCGCTGTATGGCGTAAAAGTCACAAACAAATGTAGGCTATATAGGCCTACTCTGTGGCGGTAAATCGCCTTAAATCGCCGTGATATAATGCGATTTTGGGCGATTTTAGGCGATTTCAGGAAAAACTGGGAGTTTCAAGCACTCCGATTTAGTGCGATTTTAGGCGATTTAAGAGAAAATTCTAAATTTTAGGGATTGCAATTTAGGTGTTTTCAAGGTAATTGAATTTTATATTTTGCTCCGGTTTCCTCCCACAGGGCAAAATTGGCAGGGTGGGTTGGAATAAACAAAGCTGGAAAAGTAATATCATATTCTCATTATATTGTTGTAAAGATAAATAGTCTAGACTAACATAAGTAATCATAATACTTGATGTAATCGGTGACTGAAATGCCCCAATGGGGAGTGAGTTGAATAATGTAATGTTTCCACACACATATGCATTGTATGAAGCAAAATACAATTATACTAGAAGTTACTATCGCAAGGAAAGTGCTGCTTCAACCACAAGGGATCAAAGGCAGCCTGCACAATTTGCTGAATAAGGGGCTGTTTATTTGATCCCGCTTTGCCAGGACAAGTACGAGGCGGATGAATTCGATGTATTGAAAGAAGTTATGGTGCACGATTCAACAAAAACTTCATTATTTTCTCAGAGATAGTTTGTAGTTAACTGTAAACGAAAGTATATTTTGTGTTCAATATATAGACCACAGTAAGACTTTTTTAATCCTATTAACTACCTGAAGATGGAGTAAATCTCCGAAATGTCGTTTGTTAATGTAATAAACACATTTAAAAAAAGTCTTACTGTGGTCTATATATTGAACAAAAAATATACTATTAACATGAGGCTCAGGGAAAGTTCATTCCTAAACATTTTGTAAACGAAAGGTTTTTTCAAGCACCAATAATAATCTTCTTGAACACAAGATCTTCTCTACAACATTTGAGTTCGGTTAACCAGCATTTAAACTTTTGTTTAGCCCAGTGACTTATTTCAATACAACGAAAACATCCCACCTTCCATTATGTAAACAGCCCCTAAGGCGTTCAGGGGGCAGGAATTCTATTTTTTGGCATGGGCAGTTTTGCATGAATACCTTCAATGCTTATAACGTCTTGCTTTTGTATGTATAATGATAATGCTGTCAGTGGTGAAGATATCCATAGCAACAGATCATGCTATGCAAGTTTTTAATGATTTGTTTGATTCACATAGATGCAAGTTTATCAGCATAGGCATAGCATGACCAGTTGCAATGACTAGCTCGCCACTAACCAGAGATCAGGCTCTATTTTACAAATATAGCCTGACACACACATTAATGTGATAGCTTTCCACCCACTGCAAAGTTTATATTTAGTATCCAATCAAAATGTCGTAGGAGAAATTTAAATTTTACACAACGACAACAACAATCTAATTATAGTTGTGCTCACTATAAAATATATCATCAACAATAGTATAAATATCTAATTAGCACCAACCAATCAAATGACAGATTAAAAAATCTTTTGTCTCATAGACCAATCAGATT